TAAATGAGTGACTCAGAAGCTCTGTTACTTACAGAATGGAAAGGGTTATTTGTTTTTGTTTTGCCACTGATAACCCAACCAGAATTTGCTGATTATCCAGTATGTTATTCTTCCTCCTCCTCCTGTCATTGCCTTGAATTGGCCCACTTCCCCAAAATGAAGAAAGGGTGAAGAGAAAGAATACATTCTTCAGCAATCTTTTCTTTTTAGACTCAGCATGGTAATGTGTATTAATTTGTAGCTACATACTCGATGAAATCCCAGTTCTGAAAAAAGGACTTGATTATTCAGTCACTTAAAAGGTCTGGTGGAAGATGAAGAAATTAATTCGTTTTCAGGATGTAGAAAGAATAGTGATTTGCTGACAGAACAATTACTCTGTAGAATGGCTTACTTTCAGAAGTTGTGGGTGCTCCATCACTGAAAGTTTTTTTAAAACAAGTTTTATTAATTTTTCAGTTTTAAGTTTTTAAGAAGAGACAGGGCAGCCGTTTGTCTGAAGTGGTATAGAGTTTCCTGATTGAGCAAGGGGTTGGACTAGAAGACTTCTAAAGTCCCTTCCAGCTCTGTCATTTTGATATTCATCAAAATAACAGAGCTGCCAGCATGGTAGCAAATTAACTGCAATCATGATTTAAAATGAAAAAAAAATAATGGTAAATAACAGCAGAATTAACCAGTGGAATAATTGTTTTTTTACCAATGAGAAAATATTTCCTCATATCCAGCAACAGTCAAAGAGTCAAAGATAGATTTTATAGAAAGTGTGCGGTTATTTTATTGACCTGAATTTTGCAGTGCTTATTTCAAAAGAAGGAGTCTGGCAATCCTAGGATTTAACCCAGACAATGTGTGAGTTATATTAATATAATAATAATAGTAGTAGTAGTAGTAAAGTTGGAAGGGACCTTGGAGGTCATCTAGTCCAACCCTCTGCTCAGGCAGGAAACCCTACACCATTTCGGACAAATGGCTGTCCAGTCTCTTTTTAAAAACTTCCAGTGTTGGAGCATTTACTGCTTCTGGAGGCAGGCTGTTCCACTGATTAATTGTTCTCACTGTCAGGAAGTTTCTCCTTAGCTCTAGGTTGCTTCTCTCCTTGATTAGTTTCCCTCCATTGCTTCTTGTCCTGCCTTCAGGTGCCTTGGAAAATAGCTTGACTCCCTCTTCTTTGTGGCAGCCCCTGAGATAGTGGAACACTGCTATCATGTTTCCCCCCCCCCTCGTCTTTCTCTTCATTAAATTAGACATACCCAATTCCAGCAACCGTTCCTTATATGTTTTAGCCTCCAGTCCCCTGATCATCTTTGTTCGTCTTCTTTGTACTCTTTCCAGATTCTCAACATCTCTTTTACATCGTGGTGACCAAAGCTGGATGCAATATTCCAAGTGTGGCCTTACCAAGGCATTGTAAAGTGGTATTAATACTTCACATGATCTTGATTCTATCCCTCTGTTAATGCAGCCCAGCACTGTGTTGGCTTTTCTGGCAGCTGCAGCACACTGCTAGCTCATATTTAAGTGATTGTCCACTATGACTCTGAGATCCCTCTCACAGTTGCTACTATTGAGCAAGGTACCACCTACTATACCTGTGCATTTGGTTTTTCTTGCCTAAATGTAGAACCTTACTTTTTTCACCATTGAATTTCATTTTGTTAGATAGCACCCAATGTTCAAGTCTGTCAAGATCCTTCTGTATCTTAAGCCTATCTTCTGGAGTGTTGGCTATTCCTGCCAGCTTGGTGTCGCCTGCAAATTTGATGATTTCCCCATCTATCCCTAATCCAAATCATTGATGAAGATGTTGAAGATGTTGAAGAGCACTGGGCCCAGAACAGAGCCCTAGGGCACCTCACTACATACTTCCACCATGTAGATGCAGTTCTATTGAGGACCACATTTTTCTATCTTATCAAGTAGTAGACTGTCGTCTACTTTATCAACTGTCTTACTGAAGTCCAAGTAAATTATATCCACAGCATTCCTCTGGTCCACTAATTTTGTTCCTGGTCAAAGAATGCAATAAGATTTGTCTGGCATGATCTGTTTTTGACAAACCCATGTTGGCTTTTAGTAATGACTTTGTTTGCCTCTAGGTGTTCGCTGATTCATTGCTTGATTACACTGGTGATATACTACACCAGTGTATACTACAGACTGGTGTATACTACAGACCACCCAACCAAACAGAGGAAATAGATGACCTTTTTGCTAAGGTATGTAGGAAGCACATCACAATAGTAATGGAGGACTTTAACTACCCTGACATCAACTGGGAGACAAACTCCGCTCCAAGTGGAAGATCAAACAGGTTCCTGGCAAACCTAGCAGACAACTTTGTCTCCCAAAAAGTAGAGAAGGGAACTAGGGGATTAGCCATTTTGGATCTAATTCTCACTAACAGAGATGAAATGATAGAAGGTGTTGAACCATAGGAACCCTGGGAGGAAGTGATCATGCAATATCAGAATTCAACATTATAGAAGCACAAGCAATAGAACACAGTCAAACTAGAGTCTTGGACTTCAAGAGAGCTAATTTCAATAAACTTAGAGAGGGCTTGGGAAGGATTCCATGGATGAGAATCCTCAAGGGGAAAACAACTCAAGAAGCTTGGGAAATTTTAAAAAATGAGATAATAAAAGCAGAGTCTAGCACAATACCAACAAAGAGGAAAAACAACAGCTCTCAAAAGAAACCAGCATGGCTGCATAAAGAACTCTCTGACAAATTGAAAGATAAAAAGGACAAGTATAGAAAGTGGAAAGAGGGGAACATAACTAAGTCGGAATATCAGCAAATAGCCCGAGCCTGCAAAGATGAAGTGAAGAAAGCCAAGGCTCAAAATGAACTAAAGCTTACGACCAAAGTCAAAAATAACAAAAAAAGCTTCTTTCAACATGTAAAAAACAAAAAAAAGTGAAGGAAATGATTGGTCCATTAGTGGGTGGAAGTGGCAAGAAGGTGACAAGCAACAGGGAGAAAGCAGAACTATTTAACTCATTTTTTGCATCTGTCTTTACACAAAGGGAAAAAAACAGACCAACCTATCAAAAATAGTGCCATAAAAAACAAAATAGAAACACAAGTTAAGATAGGCAAGAAAATGGTAAGTGAGCACCTGTCCAGCCTAGATGAGTTCAAATCGCCAGGACCAGATGGATTACACCCCAAGGTTCTCAAGGAACTGGCAGATGTGATATCGGAACCACTGAACTATATTTTTCAAAGATCCTGGAACACAGGGGAACTACCAGAGGACTGGAAAAGAGCTGATGTAGTTCCCATCCTCAAAAAAGGAAAAAAAATGGATCCAGGAAATTACAGACCTATCAGCCTGACCTCAATACCTGGGAAGATCCTGGAAAAGATAATCAAACAACGAATCAACGAACACCTAGAGGCAAACAAAGTCATTACTAAAAGCCAACATGGGTTTGTCAAAAATAGATCATGGCCAGACAAATCTTATTGCATTCTTTGACCAAGTGACAAAATTAGTGGATCAGAGGAATGCTGTGGACATAATTTACTTGGACTTCAGTAAGGCATTTGATAAAGTAGATCACAACCTACTACTTGACAAGATAGAAAAATGTGGGGTAGACAGAACCACCACCAGATGGATCCGTAGCTGGCTGACCGGCCGTACTCAGCGAGTGGTCCTCAATGGAACTGCATCTATATGGAGGGAAGTGTGTAGTGGGGTGCCCCAGGGCTATGTTCTGGGCCCAGTACTCTTCAACATCTTCATCAACGATTTGGATGAAGGGATAGATGGGGAACTCATCAAATTTGCAGCCGACACCAAGCTGGCAGGAATAGCCAACACTCCAGAAGACAGGCTTCAGATACAGAAGGATCTGGACAGACTTGAACACTGGGCACTAACTAACAAAATGAAATTCAATGGTGAAAAAAGCAAGGTTCTACATTTAGGCAAGAAAAACCAAATCCACAAGTACAGCATAGGTGGCACCATGCTCAATAGTAGTAACTGTGAGAGGGACCTCGGAGTCCTAGTAGACAATCAGTTAAATATGAGCCAGCAGTGTGCGGCGGCTGCCAAAAAGGCCAACACAGTACTAGGCTGCATTAACAGAGGGATAGAATAAAGATCACGCGAAGTATTAATACCACTCTTCAATGCCTTGGTAAGGCCACACTTGGAATACTGCATCCAGTTTTGGTCACCACGATGTAAAAAAGATGTTGAGACTCTAGAAAGAGTACAGAGAAGAGCAACCAAGATGATTAGGGGACTGGAGGCTAAAACATATAAGGAACAGTTGCTAGAATTGGGTATGTCTAGTTTAACGAAGAGAAGGACAAGGGGGGACATGATAGCAGTATCCCAATATCTCAGGGGCTGCCATAAAGAAGAGGGAATTAAGCTATTTTCCAAAGCACCTGAAGGCAGGACAAGAAGCAACGGGTGGAAACTCATCAAGGAGAGAAGCAACCTAGAACTAAGGAGAACCTTCCTGACAGTGAGAACAATTAATCAGTGGAACAGCTTGCCTCCAGAAGCAGTAAATGCTCCAACACTGGAAGTTTTTAAGAAGAGACTGGACAGCCATTTGTCCGAAATGGTGTAGGGTTTCCTGCCTGAGCAGAGGGTTGGACTAGATGACCTCCAAGGTCCCTTCCAACTTTACTACTACTACTACTATTATTATTATATTAATATAACTCACACATTGTCTGGGTTAAATCCTAGGATTGCCAGACTCCTTCTTTTGAAATAAGCACTGCAAAATTCAGGTCAATAAAATAACCGCACACTTTCTATAAAATCTATCTTTGACTCTTTGACTGTTGCTGGATTGATTGAAGAGTAATTTTAATTCCAGATAATGTACTCTGGAACTAATCAATAAAAGCTAAAGCTTTGAGGAAGTTGTATTACGTAGGAAGAGGTTAGTTATACTTACATCTCTGTGTAAATATTAGACTTACGGTTTCTCAAATTTTACCAAACAGTAGTTGTTCATTAACTTTATCTGTATAAAATGAATTCTCCTCTATGTTTCTTTCCATTTCCAAAATGGCAAAACAATTCTTCATTCTGTGGCTGGCTTTGTCTTCACAAATTCTATTGACAGATGCTTTTATCTATCAGGTACTTGTCTTGGTTGATGCTTAATTGTTCACTGAAATATGAAAACAATATACATGCCTGAATTTTTAATGATTCAATTAATTTTACGGGTTGTAAGTGAAAACGAATAGCTAACTGAGAAGAACAAGACTTAGACCAAGGGAAGATGAGTTGCACTGTAGCTGAACATGTTGTTTAGAAATGGCATGTGTGATTGTACTTGGATATGTGTATGTATTGTTAGTGGAAAGATGTAACTGAAGGTGAATAAGAGCATATTAATAGGGGAATTTGTTGTCCCTCGGAGAAGTTGCGGCACCTCATTTAAGGTACTCAAAAGAGGTATTTGAATTTGGATTCCCTCACCAAACTGGGGATTGAACTCAGGGACCAAAATGGTTCTAGCTCTTTGATTCTAAGTTCAGCTTATCGGTTTGTGGGATGAGAGTTGGTGGGTTTTGAGCTTTATCTGTTGTCCAAATGAATAAGGATATTTTGCTGGAATCCTAGCAGTTTGGAATCACCCTTAGTTTCGATCCATACTGTGGGAGATGAAAATATAGCCCCCTCCTCATATAATAAGATGAAGCTAGAGGAAACCTGAAATAGGCCCCCACAGAAGTGATTTGAAGCACTAACTTGAACTTTATGTTGTTTCACAATGAGCTTTGTGCGATATGAAATTGCAAAATAGACAGTTCTATGTGTATTTGGAACATGAGTATTGTAACCATGGGAAAAATAGGGAACTGAACAGTAGCTGATGAATGCGGGTTCCAGTGTACACGGGTATATGTGGAAAGTAGGTCAGCAGAAGTCAGCAAAAGTCAGTGGACCATCTGACTACAGTCTTAGAATGAGAAAGGGTATAAAAGGTTGGGACCGGACCTGATTGATTTGCCATTGGCCTATAACTGTCCTATTGGATTCTGCTATGTCATATGGTCCTCATTGCAATGGGTTATTAATGGAAGTGATGTTGTGTTATTATGCTTGCTATGTTCCAAATTATTAGAAAAATAAACCTCTGAATCTTAAAGTAAGAATTATTATGTTGTGTTGCTGTCTCTTGTCTTTTTCATTGGGTTTTTCCATGACAATTCTCAAGGGCCAGCAGACTCCAGAACTTGATTTATTACAAGTTCCTGTAAAGTAATGCAAGACTTCAACAGAGCAAATCTGTTTGTTTTTTTTATGTGTGGCACCTCTTCAGCGTCTAAGAGCAGTCCAAGCTCCCTTGCTCGGAATTTTTGCTTCAATGTGTTTTTCATCCTCCAGTGACAGGAGCTCTCCTTTCTCTTGCTTGTGGTAAATAATCACTATGTCTTAAATCAAAAGCTGCAAAGACAAACACTTTTGGATAGACTGAGGAATGGAAAAGGTTGAGGTTTAAAAATGCTCCAAACTGAGTGGTCTTTTAAAAGTATTAACATGAGATAGATTGAAATGGGACAGAAATGCTGATAGTTTCCGAAGTTCTACAGAAGACTTTCCCCATTTGTTTTCACTTTTTACAACCACAAAATGTATTTCTGCTACATCTAAGTACAGTCACTTGGTATACTTAGAAAAGTTAGTGCTATTGACAATTTCATTTTTGCTCTGCTCTCCCATCCCCAAAATGAACTTCTGAATAGAGCCCTACTCGACCTCTAGTTATATCTAAATGTATATATTTTAGATTATGGAGAAATATCCTAAAGTAGATCAACTAGTGGGTATCCACAGGGGAAGGCTCAAAAAAGTCAAATCGGTAGCATATCTGCATGATTGAAAGCCCACGTTGTATTGATGAATGTTCAAAGAACAGAACTTCAATAGCATATTTTTTATTGTTTAGGTCAAATACAAAATGCAAATATAAGTGCAGAGATGCAGGGAAGGCTCCCATCTTAAATAAGAAAAATATAAAGATGTCCCTTGTGGCCGATTTAGGATATCAGGACAGAGCAACCCATTTTGAAGGATGGGGGCAGGGATAGGTAGATGTTCTTTTAGGAAGATGCAGATATTTATGGAATTTTCTTCCATGGGTGCCAGAAAAAAATTCTGCACTTCTGAACATGTCAGAATTGGGAGGTGTTGGTAGGCTGAGCACAGCAAACTAAATCAAGTTCTTACAATAGCATTTTTTTCAGCAAAGTGTCATATTTTTATAACATTAGACAATCCATGTCTGATTGGGATATCCCTTCCTTCCTTCCTTCCTTCATTCCTTCCTTCCTTCCTTCCTTCCTTCCTTCCTTCCTTCCTTCCTTCCTCCCTCCCTCCCTCCCTCCCTCACTCACTCACTCACTCACTCACTCACTCACTCACTCATTTCCTCCTTCTCTGTCATTATCTGCCTGCCTGCCTGCCTGCAGCACTGAAGCACCCATAATTTCCTCAAATTTCATTCCATTAGATGCATTTTGTCAGTTAGCTGTTTTGAAGAAGCTTGGTTCAAAAACTGTTGCCTTATAATTCACCATTTCACTCAGGTAAAGGTCATAACAAAGTTTTAGTAGCATATAGGTGTTTTATATAATATATTAAAACAATATAAAATAGTTTAATAATTTAAAAGAACAATCTTGCATTTTTATTACAGCAAATTATCATATGAAAAATTGATTTATGTCTGTTTATTATAAAAATGACTGTCTGGGGTTTGATACTAATACTTTTAGTCTTTGTTCTATTGTTAGTAACAATCTCCAGCCAGCAAAGAAACTGATAAAAGCTTTCTCCCTTCTTTCCCTAGAATGCCATTGAAATCTACAGCCTGCACATTGACTGCAAAGTTATGTCGCGGTATGCCCACACAGTCATCACCAGCAGAATTGTCAACAGGGGAAATGAATCTAAGGAGGCTGTTTTCGATGTGGAACTACCCAAGAAAGCATTCATCACAAACTTCAGCATGTAAGCACTAAAGTAGGGCTCAATATCTGAAATGATAAGACAGATTTGAACTTTATTTACTCATTTTTTGAGGTTTTTAAGACATTCCCATTACCAAAACTGGAGTAGCATACAACTCCCCAAATATGTAATCTGGGACTAAAAACACAAATATAGATCAAATTACTATAAAAACAAACCATGAAGTTATACCTATGTAAAACTGGGAAATATTTTCAGAGCAGTTGAAACCATTGAATGCAAATCTCATCTAGAAGATACTTTTCATTCAAAGCAAAATAAACCTGATTGATTAAAATGTAATCACAAGAATTATTCAACAATGGAGTTATCTGTACAACCCTACTTCCACAATTGATTGAACCGGATAAGAAATAATACTGGAAAAATTACATTGATAAAGAAAGACAATGCAAATTCCCCCCCCCCCAATTAATATTTCCCATGAACATGAAATAATGATTAAAATGAAACTGAAATTATATTCAATCCAGTAATGTAGGGTTTTATTTTCTTTCACTTCATAAAATACCTTACTATCAGTGGGTTTCCCTTTTCTATTTCTTGACCTTTATGAATTCTTTGAAACATCTATTTTGAAGGACCATAGATGGAGAAATATATCCTGGAATAATCAAGGAGAAACAGGCTGCTCAAACTCAGTATGAGTCTGCCATTTCACGAGGTCAAAGTGCTGGATTGGTCAAGTGAGTACAAGAGGTTTCTCAAATTTTGATTTTAAGTAGATTTCTTTTCTTAACCAGATCCACTCAGTGCATATGATTCACCATTCCTTGGCACATGGAGATAATTAGATTCCACTATCATTCCTCAAAGGGTTTAAGCATCAACACCTTATATAAGAATATCCATGTAACCAAGTAATAAACCATGCGGGCCATCTTGAAATATTAAAGATGGCTCAAGAAGCCTATGGATAATCTGAGGCTTATCATGAATGCCAAAAATAGCAAAAAGGGGATTCTGTCACCAGCTATACAAGGAGAAAGGCCAGAGGGGGAGGGCAGAAGGGAAACAGTGATTAAAATACGTAAGGAACTGATGACAGAACATTTAGCTGCTGTGAGTGAATATAGTCTCAGGGTGCTAAAGGAACTGGCAGGTGTGATCTCAGAACTACTGACTGTAATCTTTGAGAATTGCTGGAGGTAAAGGGAATCTGCCAGAGGACTGAAGAAGAGAGAATGTTGTTCTGATCTTTTAAAGAAGGGAAAAAGCAGACCTAAGAAACAACATTTGCAGAAATCGTAGCAAAGATTATCAAGCAGTAGGTTTGCAAGCACTTAGAAAGGAACAACATACCTAAATTATACTTTTCTCATTTATAGATCAGCTGGAAGAAAATTGGAAAAGTTTAGTGTTTCAGTTAATGTTGAAGCAGAAGGTAAAGTTAATTTTGAATTGCATTATGAGCAACTACTCGATCGAAAGCTAGGGAAATATGAATTGATCACCAAAGTCAAGCCCAAACAACTGGTGAAAGACTTTCAGGTAAAATCTCCACCAATAGTTTTGCCTACCTGTCATTACCAGCTCATATTTAGAAGGTAGACCCAATCACATCTTTTGCTTTTGCTTATATTTAGATTGATATTCACATCTTTGAGCCACAAGGCATAGCCTTTTTAGAAACGGGAAGCAGTTTCTTGAGCAATGAAATGAATGATGCTGTCATAAAGACACAGGAGGAGACCAAGGTACGTGGCTGCATTTGACCCAAAACTCCTTACAAAACTCTAACAACAAAAAATCACTGTTGTATTAATAGTTTGCCTGACATGATTTTTATTTGTCTTTAATGTTCAGGCTCATATTTCATTTAAACCAACCTTAAGTCAACAAAGGAAAAACCCTGAGTCTGAAGAAACTCTTCTAGATGGAAATTTCATCATACGTTATGATGTTAAAAGGAATGTTCCCGTAGGTGACATACAGGTAACGTGATGTTTTTAATTCATCTGTGAATCCAACAATGGCCATTATCTAGGGTCTATCCTGAAATTTTCCAGTATCATAAACATTAGGAAGTAATGGATAGGGTGGGGGGAGAGGAGTTATGCCATGTTTTCAAGGTATGGCCTTCATCTTATTGCTCGCTCTAAGCTAGGGCAGCCAAGTCATTTTCAGCTTTAAAGTTTTAAAGTTTTCCCTCTTCCGCTGACAGATCCTTTGCATGGATAAGATCTAGCTTCCTTCATGTACTTGCTGATGAGATCAGGGATTGAGATTTATCCCACTCCTGTTATTTTAGGTTATTGCAGGTCTGCTTCCTCCTCTGTTCTTTGGACATTGACCTCTTTGGCCATTTTGACCTGGGCTGCAAGAGGCACTGAAAAAGGGCCTTATGCAATGCTCTTCTGAAACAGTGTTAGAGACACATTTAAAAAGCAGGACTAGCATTCTTTGGAACTAGTATTACCCGGAAGCTTACCATAATTTAAACTGGGAAAGAGAGCCACATTCTTCCAGCTGTGTATTGCTGCTTTTGTTACAAATAGGAGTTTCCAACTGCTTCTGTCAACAAAGGACAGAGATGATTTTATTACTTGGTGGGAAGACCTGGTGCCATTTGGCCTGTTCCACAGTCACTTGCTGCTATACCCTTGCAGTGCTATTCAGGGGTGGAGCTCTCTTGTTTTTGACTACGCCGCCCACCTCAGACCTTTCCCTCATCATCTGTTAGCTGACAAGTTAGATTTTTGAGAAGGATCTATTGTTCTTTCATGACCGTGCTAAACTCTTATCCATAAATCACCCAAATGACAAGACATAGATATAGAGTACCTTCATGCCTTCATACTGCCTGTAGGTTGGCTGGACTACCTGTTCTAAGTCCCCTTCTACACATACCATCTCTGTCCCACCACTTTTTCTCAGGTTGCGGTCAGTGGGAAAGAAAAGGAAACCCAGGGGAACCCACCAATCCCTCTTCTCTTGAAATGATCAGGACAGCAGCACGCGCTGTCCTCTTGAAATATGTGGCATGTTTTTCTGTCTTCTGCTGGACTGGAAGATGGTACTTTATGTGGCTGACTCACTGTGTCTTTTAGTATACTTAGCTGAACTCTTAGCTTTGAGAAAGGGTCATTTAAAAAGGCTTCATCCTCAGTTTTGATCAGTGATTACAATTCAATGATTCGTAGTACTGAAATGAGAACCCAAGGGATATAAACAAAAACTAACCTTGTTTGTTCAAAACTTACTGGAAATGTAATAAAAGGCAACTCTTGAGAATATCAATTTATTTCCCAGATCTCCCAGGTTCTATCATAAATTCATAGTAATTATGCTATATTCCCATTTGTACCTATACCACAAACCGGTCCCAATTTTTTTTCCCCCAGTATCTGTCTATGAGGTACTTCATCTCATCCTTAGACCCTCAACTGGGACTGGCTTAAGCTGTATTGGGATTAGGTTTAGTTTTCCCTTGTTTTACTCCATACTGCCCAGAGAAAGCTTCAGACAGAAAATCTGTTAAGCTTTGCCACCCATCAGCTGGAGGAAAAACTGGTGATTGACAGCAACATGTCACAAAAGCAGTCACGGTAGGACAGAGATCAGTGATCAGGTCAGCAAATTTTAGGCTGGGGAACTGCCAGCGGATAGCAGTGTAACTGCATAGCAGGGAATGTATCCTATGAGAAACAGCACACACTTTGTGTTGGTCTGCTCCCTGTGGAAAATGTGTGTGGGGGGGGAAACCGAACCACAGTTGGAACAGATATAGTCAAAATATTTTTACTGCTTATCAATAAAAGTACAGAAGGTTATTTTCATTCAGGATACATATTTTATTGAACTGAATTTATGTACCTATAGTTAGGAATACATTTATATTTATATTTTATTAAAGCAGACGTCTTTAGCTAAAAAGTTGGTTTCAGACGTCAGTGTTTTTCATACAGTAAGCTACTGTGTGCTTGGGAGAGTTGAATGACTTATAGAAATTTATTTCTTCAACCAAACTGTATTTTCAGAGTCACCCAATTGGTGAGATGGGCAGAATATAAATTAAACAAATAAATAAATACATAACAGTATGTTTTTACCCAGTATCCCATAGAGCTTATTTTGGTTTCTTTATCCTCCAGTACATCAACATATATATCTGTAACATGTTAAAATGACATGTTTTGTTCATTTCAGATCGTGAATGGTTATTTTGTCCATTATTTTGCACCCAAAGAAATGCCAGTATTTCCAAAAAATATCATCTTTGTTATAGATCAAAGTGGATCTATGAGTGGCAATAAAATTCAGCAGGTAATCTCTCCCAAAACAGCATTTTCTTGAGTCTACTGATAGTTTTTGTTGTATTCCAGGTTTAATTCCAATGAAAATTACCTTATTTCAACAAGCCAGCTTCAGGTATTCTCAGCCACTTCTCTCTTTCATAGCTGTGAACCAAAAAAGAGCAATGATGCTGTAGAGTCAAAATAAACAGCCCTTCTTTCCATCTTTGTAATGTTCAGATTTATTTCCTTGTTGGCTTTGCATATATATTTACTTCTGAGTGAATTATTATTACCAAGGTACACATTTGCTTGTTCTTTCTCTGTACCAGTCATTTTGGGTCAATCGTTTTCTGTTAACTAACCTACCTCACAGGGCTGTTGTCACAAGATGACTTGAGATTTAAGAGGAAAGGTGAAATATAAATCTAGAGAGCAAGTAATTGAACAACTGGAAATAATTACCCTTTGAAGTTGGTTAAATATTCCATCTTATTTGCAAGCCATTAACAACTGCCTTTGTTTTATCCAAGGCAGGCATTGTAATGATGAAATATATCCTCCTTTGTTTTCTAACTTACATTAAAGGAAAATGAAGTTTCTGTGTGCACAGGTCAAAGGTTTTTAAGAAGAGACTGGACAGCCATTTGTCCGAAATGGTATAGGGTTACCTGCCTGAGCAGGGGGTTGGACTTGATGACCTCCAAAGTCCCTTCCAACTTTATTATTATTATTATTATGGTTATATGTATTTTCACTTATTATAATAGTTGTCAAAATGGTAGCTGTAGGCTACAGAATTTAACTATGTGTTGTTTTACTCTTCATTATAGACTAAAGAAGCATTGGGAAAGATTTTGGAAGATCTGGATCCTAAAGACTATTTTAATTTAATTGTCTTTAATTGGCATAGTTCATACTGGAATCCCACTTTGTTGCAAGCCAGCAAGAAGAATGTGGAATCAGCTAAACAGTATGTTCAAACCATTCAGGCTGGTGGAGGTCAGTATGAGGTCTAAGAAAGTTTGTCCATCTTTACAATACCAGTTTAATCAGGAGTTAACTGGAACTGATATCCAAACCTTCTTGATTCCAGTTTTTCATATAATTACTTGACATATTTTTTGTTTAAAAAATCAAATTATTATTTCTTCCTTCTTATATTCAACATTGTTCAAAGTATTTGACGGCATTCATAATATTTTGGGACCAGTGGCAATAGAGAAACATTAGTTGGCTTCAAATCACATATTTGTTTGTGACATGTATAAATGTCATTTATAAATGAATAAATAATCTAAGACACTGAGCAATTAAAGCAGTTAAAGGCAAACAAAAGAAGGCATAAACCTAAATCATCCACCATAAATTTAGAAACCCAAATCAGTAACAGTCTGGAACCAAATTAAAAAACACCACTGGCATCATAACATTTTTGTACAAGCCTTCCAGAGTATCAAATTGGCAAGAGTATCAAAGGCAAAAAGTAAGGGTCAATTTAATTTCTGCTGGGCAACAAAACCGTAGTGTAGGTGTAGCCATTGAAAAGCAGCATTTATGAACCACCAACTTCACAAAATTAAAGTCCCTTTATTTACCTGTATTTATTTCATCAGCAATGAGACTTAAAACCATAGTGTAGGTGTTGGCATTGAAAAACAACCTTTATGAACGATCAACTTCACAAAATTAAGAGATCGCCAATCTTTTCTCAGGAATGCACAGATCGGCTGGTTCAATTGTAACTGAAGGTGGTATTCTGGAAAATTTTGCTTTTGAATGATTGGATAGTAGAAATAGTGTCAAAGTGCCTTTATTTACCTGTATTTATTTCATCAGCAATAAGACTTAAAATTGCATCTGATTAAATAGATTTCTTCAAATGTCTTGAAATTTCCTCTCCATGCTTTTTAGAACAATTCCATCACTACTAGCATATTCATTGATACAATTCTTCCTATTGCAGGAACGAATATTAATGAAGCTCTTTTGACAGCCATTAATTCTCTGGATCAAGCCACCCGTGAGGAGTCATTGCCAGAAAAAAGCATTTCGATGATCATTTTGCTGACAGATGGTGACCCCACTGTTGGTAAGTTAGGAACAGAAAAGCTACCCAGTTCTTATTGCTGTTCTTTGCGTTTTATTTGTTTTAGTATGTACTTTTGAACAATAACATCATTTTTTAAAAAATAGTTTATTTAAAACAGCATTATTTTCTTCCTTAGCTTTACCTCATGTATTGAATTTCACAATTTCAAATATCCTCAAATGTTTCTTCTGACTTCTTTTCCAGTGGTTTTATTCATTCAGCTCCATATCTATGTGCAGTATGTTTGTGTGAAGGTTGTTTGAGTGAGTATGTTGTTAATATAAAGGCCACAGGACTGAGGTTGGTGAAAAGAAAGAAAAAATAATAATTCGCTATTAATAATGTATATAAATCTTTCCAAGTATATTGGAAAACAAACCATATCATCAACCTTACAATGAGAATCAGCCTAAGAAAAGCATATTTGTATGTTTCTTAGCTCTGAAATCTAATCTGTTGATCATTTAAATATTTCAGAAATTGCATCAACTTCTCTGATCCACAGTAATATTCCATTCTTCGTATTACAAATAGACTATGTTTGTTTTTTGTGATAATAACACTTTGGAAATCTGTAGTGCAGTCATATTCTATTGCTTCTGTTATTATTTTCACATGCCCATTATTCACTCTTAATCCTTTATTTTGGTTCAGTGACACATCTGACCAAGCTACTTCACGAGGTGGTCTACCATGTATGCACATACCATGTTCACATCCTGTCTTTTCAGCAGAAAATGGCATCCAAGACAGCTAATGCTGATAAAGTAGAAAAATTAGCAAATACAATAAATAATTTAAAACAAAAGTAATGCAGATATTTGTGCTTGTTCATACATATAACAGGTGAAACAAATCCTAAACTAATACACAAAAACATAAAGCAAGCCAATCAAGGAAAGTATTTCCTCTACTGCCTTGGCTTTGGATTTGATGTAAGCTATAGTTTTCTGGAGAAGTTGGCCTTAGACAATTCGGGATTGGCTCGACGTATATATGAGGACTCAGATGCAGCCCTTCAGCTCCAGGTAAGAACCCATATCCAAAACATGTCAGTATCTTTTGACATACATCAGAAGCATGCTAAAAATAATCTTAATTTTCCTGACTGGAATATGCAATGATTTCCTGTGGTTCTATCTTCCTTTATTTAAGGACTTTTATAGTGAAGTGGCTATTCCCATCCTGAAGGAGATTAATATAAATTACATTGACAGTGCTGTAGAGGGTGTCACTGAGAATAACTTTAAGTTGCTCTATGACGGTTCTGAAATTGTAGTGGCTGGAAAACTTGACAGTGAAATTGATACTTTTTCCTTGGAAGTAAAAGCTCAGGCGGTAAGTACCATGCAATTACTCCTCGTTAAAAAGGTACAAGAGGTCTGTTTCATAGACGAAGTACTGAGCTATGTTTCCAAACTAGGTTCTGAAAAGAAGTAACAGTGTGTTACCTTCAAAATGTTTTAAAAATACAAAATAGAGTGTATCTATGCACGTGTACAAAAACATAGGTGAACCTGATGTGTTAATATTGCATGATAAAGAAATCTTAAAGCAAACCGTGAATGAAAGGACTGTAGCTGCTGCAACAAGTTAGGATCATTTGCAGGTTAAACCAGATTTTGCCTTCACGCTGGGCAAATGTGGCCAATGAATTCAGTACTTTGAATATGCAATTCACCATTTCATTTGAGTGCTTTAATTTTAATGAGTATAATTTTTTCTTCCTTGAAGGTAGTAAATAAAAAGGGCCTGTCCTTTCAGATATGTTTTGCAGACTGGAACTTGATTTGGTATTATATCAATAACTCATCCTGATCCCTTTCCCCATTTTTCAGCATGGAAGCAATTTGACCCTGAAAGAAAGTGCTAATGTCAAAGAGAAAGCGCAAGCTTTTGAATATCAGAAATACATATATGGAAATTTCATTGAAAGTTTATGGGCCTATTTAACCATTCAACAGCTATTAGAAAAGTCGTGAGTGACTCTCTTTGCATATTTGGGGGGATGAAAACTCAAAGAAAATACTTTCTTTTAAATATTATAACTAACTCAAGTAGCTATTGCTTGAGTTCATAAAGGCGCTGGTGACACACTATTGTTTATTCCTGGTTCATTCTCAGTCTATTTTGTCCTTCAGTTTGTTTCACTTTGTGTCTCAGTGAGAAAATATGAATATTCCAAACCACATCTTAAATCTTCTGAACCTAATTTTTATATTTAAAAAATCCTGACTTACATATAGAGTCAGTGGAAATTATGCTCTGTGTTTTAGCATTTTGGAGCAAGGAGCAGGGAAGAAAAATCTGGAAAACCAAGCATTAAACCTCTCCCTGAAGTACAGCTTTGTAACACCCTTGACTTCCATGGTGGTCACTAAACCAGAGGCCAAAGAGTTGGTTAACAAACCAACAGAACAAGGTAAAAAACAACATAATGCTTTCAGTATGCAATGCAAAGATCAGAATAGATTGCTGGCCATTTCGTTGTCTTCTGAATTTCAATCAGTTGCTAGAAGAATGACTGGGACAATGCTTCTGTAAGTGCTGCCATGATGAATTAAGAAATAAAAGCATGCTAATTATTGTGTGTGAGAGCATAAATATGGTATCAGTGATGTTCACACTGAATACAGTGTCTATTTTTCAAGTGTTAACTGATTATCATGAAACAGGATTGAGATTTTTATAACATTTTTATTTTCTTTGAGGAAATATTTTTAAATTTTAAATCTTTAAAAAAATTAAAACCTAATCCTATTCCTTGTTTATTTAATAATATAACCAGCAATATATCAAGCTATTTTATGTACTGTACTTATTATATATAAACTGAATTTTCTTTAGATGAACTAGATTGATTCACAAATTAGATTATTTCAATATAAAACTGAACTGGGTTCTATCCACTTTTATTTTATACTAAGTATATTTTTGTACTATTTTTTTAAAAAGGACCAATAAATGGAATGGAAACCAGAAGAGTATAGCTGAAAGCTTTGTTATTTTCATTGCCTATCTTGCCACTATAGTTATTCCTAAATTCCTAGCTTATGTTCTATAAATAATATAAGAACAGATTGTGTGTTGTGATTGTGATTGTAGTTCATAATATTACGAAGTCTCTTGATGGAATTCTGTGATTCAGAATTCTGAATTAGATTGCAAAATGATTTGGTAAACTAATAAGGTGATGAGATTCAGTTTGGTCTAGTAGTTAAGGCGCCAGGCTACAAACCAGGAGACTGTAGGTTCAAATCCCACTTTTGCCATGAAAGCCAGCTGGGTGACCTTGGTCCAATCATTCTCTCTCAGCCAACCCACTTCACAGGTTGTTGCTAAGGGAAAACTAGGAGGAGGAAGATTTGTTGGATATGTTTATACCTTGAGTTATTTGTAAAAATAATAAAAATGGTAAACGAAGTAAAAAAGAATAATAATTAAAATAATAATGGGTTTCCTATTGAAACAGGAGGATCTAAGTTCTGCTAGCCATAAAACTGACCAGTCTACTTCAAAACAGTTGTAATCTTTCACCATAAATAATCTCAGAGATGGGTGAGCACATTCTCTTTCTTACCCAAGGGAACAGTTCTGAGAGTTGAGGATCTAGAAAATGATGGAAAATGAAGCCCCCTTTTTAGTAAAGGTTAATATTATTTCTGTTGTTTCTTCCCAGATAATGAGTATTTCCAGGAACAAAATCCACGACTTGCTGGAAGTTCACATTTGTTTAGACATCCATCCCGTGGTATGTTTTATATTTTAGAAATATTGTGCCAGTATTTATTTCTGACAATTTTTCCCATCATAAAACCCATCTAACATCAGGATTCTTTCATAGGTGTACCAGGATTGCTTTCTACAAGTGCCAGGTTTAGGGCTTCTCCTCCTAAACCCTCAGGTATTTTGTCATCTGAAGTCTAACAAAGATGTTCAGGCTGATAGTTAATTTAATCAGGCTGTTGCCTGTAGTTTTGAGAAGTGGGTTGCTCATGTCATCCTCTCCGCTCGGTAATGAAATCCAAAAAGCTATTCCAGTAAGAAACCTACGCTTTTCTTAATGCATGTTTTGAAATATCCAGAATAAAAGGCAAAGCTTTGGGTTTTTTCAACACAAGTTACTTTTTTGTAACCAATGAAACAGTGGTGATATGAAAATATTCTGTCAATATTATTTTCATAGGTTACCAATGTGCATGCGTCAGTAAATATATATTATGCCATAGGCCGCATTATAAATAGAGCCATTCATTTAGGAACCTGGTTGACAAGAAGGGCGGCATATGAATTAAATAAATAAATAATTGTTCCGTTTTCTACAACATCATTTCATTTTCCTCCCTTATTTCTGCCCTATGTTTTATATTCTAGAAATATAGTGCCAGTATTTATTTCTGACAATTTTCCGCATCATAAAACCCACCTAACATCAAGATTCTTTCATAGGTACACAATTATTGGTTTCCTCAAGTGCCAGGCTTCGAGGTCCTCCTGCCGCTGTGCCTCATACAGTTGTTCACCCAGGTATTTTGTCATCTTAAGTCTAACAAAAATTACTGTTCAGGTTGATAGTTAGTTTGATCAGGCTGTTGTCTGTAGTATTGAGTTTTTTTTTCAACACAAGTTACTTTTTTGTAACCAATGAAACAGTGGTGATATGAAAATATTCTGTCAATATTATTTTCATAGGTTACAAATGTGCATGCGTCAGTAAATGTATATTATGCCATAGGCCACATTATAAATAGAGCCACTCATTTAGGAACCTGGCAAGAAGGGCGGCATATGAATTTAATAAATAAATAATTGTTCTGCTTTCTACAATATCCAAACATTAAAAATAATTTCATTTTCCTCCCTTTTTTCTATAATCATTTTTAGACAATACTTCTGATACATGACCATAGAATGATAGAATGGAAGGCTTTTGAAGGATCTTCCAGTCTCCTGATATAGGAGAAGAAGAGGCACAGACCGGGAGAGGGGCATTCAAAAGAGGAATCAGTATCAGTATTACGTTCCCACAAGAGAATCAAGTCCAGCCCCCCCCCGAATTCCATTAACTCTTACCTAGTGTCAATTTATTGTTGATAACTAATTAACTAGAATCTTATGCATAGGCATGAGCAATAGATAATCTTAATTGGAACATATTGTGTAGTTCCGATTCTTTATGCCTGACATCTGTCCAGGGTAGGGATACAGCACTACTCCTGATGCGGGCCCAGTATGGATCTTGAGAAGAGCCTAAGAATTTGCTTTGGGTGGCATGATATGTGATAATAATAATAATAATAATAATAATAATAATAATAATAATAATGATGATGATGATGATGATGATGATGATGATGATGATGATGTTGGAAGGGACCTTGGAGATCTTCTAGTCCAACACCCTGCTCAGGTAGGAAACTCTATACCAGTGATGGCAAAGCTTTAAGAGACCGAGTGCCCAAAACCCATCCCTGCCTCACATTTATTAATAATGTACATATATATGTATTTGTGTGTGTGTGTGTGTGTGTGTGTGTGTGTGTGTGTGCGTGCACGCGCGCGCACGCATAAATGTGTTTGTGGCAGGTGGGGTTCTTATCTTGCCAGTAAAACTGAGATTAGGATTGGGAAAAAATAAATATAATTGTTGTTTTTGATAATGAATTGCTATTGTATGTATCAGAACAAAGTAAAAGAGAAAAACAAGTCAGCTTCATTAACATGTACACTTCTACAGATCATCTAGTCTTAAAATCATCAGGGAGATATTTTAAGGAGCCGAGACCAAAGTCATGAATGAAAGTGCATTTCAACACAATGTTAAAGTCAAGAACTCATAATAATAATAATAATAATAGTAAAGTTGGAAGGGACCTTGGAGGTCATCTAGTCCAACCTCCTGCTCAGGCAGGAAACCCTATACCATTTCAGACAAATGGCTGTCCAGTCTCTTCTTAAAAACCTCCAGTGTTGGAGCATTCACCGCTTCTGGAGGCAGGTTGTTCCACTGGTTAATTGCTCTAACTGTCAGGAAGTTTCTCCTTGGTTCTAGGTTGCTTCTCATGGTCAGTGTATTGCCCATATGCAAAAATAGATTGATACAATATCAATAGGTGTCAATGGTTCTGCTATGCAGATAGAGACTTTTGCCCATTTCATTTGGGTTAGACTCCCATTTCAGACATGCTTTGTATTCTTATTAAAGCAAATTACAAAACTTTGATCAACCTTTTTAATATGCTGTATAGTCATTTTGTAAAATAAGTAGACATGCTAGTATAAAAAATTTGAAAGAACGTAGTATTACATAATATTGTGCAATATCCACCACCCCTGAATCATGATGTATATTTTCTCAATCTCTGAAACATTAAGATGTGTGGACTTCAATTCCCAGAGTTCTCCATCTAGCATGGAGTTGGTCAACACATCTTAAAGTTGCTGAGATTGAGAAACGCTGGCTTAAGAGCTCCTTGGCATCAAGCTATGAAGATTGCTTGGGCTAGGATAGCCATGCCACTTCTAGCTTGCCAACAGTTACAAGGGGAGAGGGGAACGTATGGAATGCACAGGTGGTTTCTATCCCTATGGGAAGCAAGGTCACAGGAGCTATATTATGGCAAGCAGAGTCATAACAACTGTCTGAAGACTAATTGGACAATGTGACCTGAGAGGGGAGGGAAGGTTTTACTCTTTTAATTATCTTTCTGGCACCATGTTGCCAGGGCTGATTTTCTATTCATTAGTGCTGGTATGCTGTACTCAATAAAGTTTTGCATTAGAGATTGGAATATCACAGGTGTGCTTACTTCGTTGGGATCATCAGCCAGAACCTTGACACACAGCCCTTCCCTCCCCTGGGATAATTAGCAAGAAGTGAAACAATGTTTGTTTACATTCATTAGAGAGGAAGGGGTTACAAAAGAGACAGCAGCCCTGAGCACATCATGCAAACAGCCAGTGTATTATTCCCCATGTGTGCAGTGCTTAGTCTTTTGTAATCTCTTTGTCTCCAATCTCTTCATTCTGAGAGGGGGGAGCAGGGGGAACAAAAGAATAGGTCAGGCACAGGAGAGATTATGTAAAGAGATCAATTTTTTTTCTGCTCCTCCACCCCTGTTTAACAATCTCTCCATTCTGTAAAGGGGGGGGGAAACAAGCAATAAATCTGTACTTCGTTAATCTTAAAGAAAGTTGACACCATTATTTTAAGAATAATATTAGGATCAGAGTAGAAAAACCATATGATTATTATTTATTAAATTTATATGCCGTCCTCTCACCACTAAGGCGTCTCTAGATATCCTTTTAAAGCATCTCAGATGGTGTATTTAATCTACTGCAGCAAAACAGCAGAAGGAAAGCAATTGAGGTTGTCAGTTTACTTCGTCTTCATTTGTTTTGACTCCATAAGTGCAACTTGGGTTTAAATTACAGTGATCATATTTTCTTAATGGGGAAAAAATGATAAACCTGAAAAGGGAGCAAATATGAAAGAGGTTCATAAGGATTTAAAAGTGTTTATGTTTATATGCTTCACAAAGGAAAATGTAAGAGCAAAATTAAGAAAATAAATCATTAAATTAAATGAATCTAAACAAGGACAGCTTTCTGAAATAATAGTCATATGGCACTGTAGTCTAGGTGCCCCATGCCAGCTCATTAACAGGCTATTTTATTTTGTTACTGAGTGAAAAATCCTGACTTTTCGGGTGCTGTGCATGGACATTTGATGTAACAAAGTACCCCATGAAGAATTTGACAGTTCTGTTAATTAATATATAGTAAACATTTGCAGCCTGCTGTTGACACTAATTATAATTAGCTCAATTTTGTCAGCCATAGCTAAGATATTAGGGATCTTGGACAATTCCACAAATCAGTATAAAATACATACTAATAATTACTTTTCTTTCCAGGATATTCCGGGACTGTAGATCCCCATTTCCTTTTTCAAGTACCTCATGAAAAATTTTTAGTTTGTGTAACTTTTAGTTGTCAGCCACAAACACCCTTAAATCTGTTGTCGGATCCAGAGAAAGGTAAGTGATTTCCATAAAGAATTGGGTAGATATGAATATTCAAAGTTGTATAGGAATGTTTTCCTTCTGACAATCTATAAAAATTTATTCTTTTCTGATTCTTGTTTTCGTTGACTGTACTTTTCATCTCATTCAGATAAATGCATTGTAACTTGTTGCAGATTCCAATATGTACATATGGATGTACTGACTATTTTTTGTGTCTAAATCCATTGATTATTTGCGATATTTATTTTAAATGTTGGAGATTTCTATCAACTCTTTATTGATTGTCTTGTATTATACTTGCTGCACAGATGTAAAAAATATTTAGCAGCATTGGCATGATGGATTAATGCCTGTCAGCTATCTGGACCAAAACACATTTTGTAATTATTTGTGTAATGTAACTAAGTCATCTCCAAATTAAGCTTGACTGCTAGTGAAGTTCATGGACATGTTTACACACCTTCTCCCTGGAGGTAGTTGTAGATATAGTAGATATAGATGTAGATATAGTAGACGTAGAAAGCTTTTCTGTCTAGCTAGTAATCTTGGGGTTTTTTGGTGGTCTCCCATCTAAATCCTAAGTGGGTTAAACTCATCTTAGGTTTTAAGTCTAAATAAATTGAGCAAGGTAGTGCATGGAATTGGCAATCAGATTAAGTAAAGAGCAATCTTTTATTCATTGTATGGCAATTTATATGGCAATTATTTCTGTGCTAATGAATGTTAGGCAAACACTAATATATTTCCTGAATGTTCCTTTACATATTTTTAGGGATCCAAGTGACTGGCAAGTTTGGTGAAAACAAGCATTTTACACAGTTTGAAATAATTTATCCGAGGCTTAACCTGGAAATAAATGTGTCAACAAAACAAATTACGCTAAAAAGTAATGGCTCCAGTGACTCTTTTATGTGGAATGACACAGAATCTTTAACAACTGAAGGGTAAACTTGTTATTTTTAGTTTTCTTTTACAGACAATTGACGTCTCCAATCCCTAAAACATAGTTTCTTTTGCATAATCTGTCAAACTGAAAGGTGTTCTTTCTTCCTCCCAGAAACAATGCCCATAAAATGAAAATCTTTGTATGTCAGGCTGCAATATTAATAATATTGAATTGGCTTTATTTTTTTACCTCCCTGGATATATGTACATAACTTTAAAACATTTTACTGTAACAGATGCTTCATAATATATGTCCAGAAAGAATATCATATGCTTTAAACCCTTACGAGGCCTACTCTATTAGGAATCTGCCTCTATGCAGATTTCTTAAAATTGGCTTATGGTGTTGTTTATACAATCTCAAGGAACAGTTAGTAAAATTAGCTTATACAATCCCAAGGAATTGTTTATACAAACCCAAGGAATAGTTAGTAAAACTTTGGGTAAACCAATAAGATTACTTACTATTGCATTTGTAGGTAAAATTTCTCACATCTAATTTACGCTCCTTTATTAAGTTAGAATTAAAGACTAGTGCAGCCAATACAGCATTTGGTCAGTTTGTTATGGATATATTTGAACATAGTCTCTTTTTGCATAATCTGTCAGGCTGATAATTTAAGAATTTATGTTTGAGAATATAAATAAATTATTTGATATTTGAGATCCATTGCTTAGATGGTGTCCATTCCGGCTAGACCATCAGCTTGAAATTTAATCTGATTAATCTTTCCATGTTGCAATTTTTAGTCCTTTGTTCCTTGGAAAAAGGTGGTGGTTTTAATTCACTTAAATAAAATCAAATTAACTCTAGTTGATATAAAAACTATAGTATCCTGTGTCTAGTTTTTCAGTTGTTAACTAGATATTAGAAAGACCTATGATGCCTGAGATTTAATAGGATTCAAATTACCAGCTTTAAAAAAAAAGGGGGGGGGAGTGGATAATTATTTGATAAATATCCATCAAACAGATGGGGAAAAGAGTTGAGATTTTGCCTTCTCCCTACAGCCACAAATCTAGATAAGCTACTTAAGACTCCTTAATAAAGCATGAGATGTAAGCCTGAAAACAAGAAGTGATTCTTGAATAAGCATTTTCTAATTTTCTGTAAGGCCATTGTGCTGAAACATGCTGTGTAAATTACTTCCAGAAACTATATAAGGGATATATAATAAGAAACAAATGCAAAAATATTCATTTACATATGTTTTATTAAAATTATGTTTACCAATAACAGTATGAGCAATATTAAATTATTACATCAGCATGATAAATTGTCAAAGGAATATTAGAAAATAATACAGTTTGTTCTGTCTTAGGCTAAACATTACACTGACAAGTGGAGAGAGTCTCTTTCTGTCAGGACCAGACAACCTTGTGACCAAAATTTTCTATATACCTCCTCCACTGGATCGGCTTGGGTTGTACTTTGAGAACAGCAATTCTTTTTCTAAACAAGTTACTGGACTTTTTGGTAAGTATTTAACTACTGCTATAGATTATAGTAATACAATTTGGAATTAAATTTGGCTTTTTAATATGATCATAGTATCCACAAAGCACCTTATCCACGTAATCTTGCTAGTCTTGCTAGATAACCCTTTGAGGTACATGAGCATTAGAAAGATAAATTTGCCCTTGAATCAAATTTGACTCTTAGTGACTTCATGACCATATAAATAGCCTTGTGGTTTTCTTCTCAGCAATGGGGGAAATTGCTTTTGGGTGCTAGTGAGTTTCACACTTTGTTCTTAACACTCCAAGTCAGTAGCAAAAAATATAACAACCTTCTAAACTGAGGCTTGGGAGTGAAAACTATTCGTATGGAAATGTCCTTTGATAAGTTTTCTTATCAAAAAAAGTGATTCATAAGAGTACAAAGACTGTGTCTATGGAAGCACATATTTCTTCAAGGTAAGGAAAAAGAAAACTGGATTGTTTCCTTTTCCATTTTTTGTTTGGAGAAATACATGTGATGGTTTTGCAACTTTGCCTCTATTTACATTATTTTTTTAATCAAGGCTTCCTGATCACAGTGTTTTGTAATAACGATATTGATGTAGTAAATCAGAGCCAATCCTAGTGCCCTTTGGAAATTACCTCCGAGGGTTACAAATGGTGTGTGTGTGTGTGTGTGTGTGTGTGTGTGTGTGTGTAAAATTTGTGGGATTCTGTTAATATGTAGCACTACAGAACAAACAGAATATTCAGTCACCATGTGCTTGACTGCTTAACTGTTTTTTTTAACTGTAACAGGAAATAGGAAACTTTACTTTGAACAAAAAGTTCATAGAGTATGTACCATAGATCCAACTTGTAAATACTGCCATCCCCTGGCTAAATACTACTGTAATTGTTGCATAAAATACATTCCAACAAAACGTATTCCAACAGAGGATAAAGCCAAATCTATTGCCTACACTGATGATGGTCTTGGAGAAAAATATATGGCACACTCTAGCATGGATGAAGCTTTCTGAATGGAAAAGTACTTTCACAATTAACTAGTAGCACAATAGTGCATCAAAATTCCAGAAATGTTCATATCTCAGGGGTCCTGAACCCCCGGTCTGTGGACCTGCATTGGGACCCAGCATGCCAGAAACTGGTCCGCACAAACAAGCAAAGCCCATCTGTGGGATGCAGGCAGTACATGAAATCAGGTCCCCTCCAGTCCACAGAAAAACATCTCTCCATGGAACCGGTTCCTGGTGCTCAAAAGGTTGGAGACCTCTGTCATAACTCATAAATGTAAAAGTTATTTGAAAAAGCACAACAAAAGTGGCTTGAAGTTTAGATTGTAGCTTTGAATTGCTATGGACTGATCAAAATATAATCCCAAAATATGCAGTTAAAATGCTGAATGATTCATTGATCATAACTACTTAAAGAAAAGCAAAGGGAAAATATTTAACAGACCTCAAATGTGACAGATTTAAGCAGCATGTAACCTGCCTTTAGATTGTCTAGGCTATTACATTAAAAATTGTAATTGTGGGTTTATGTCTATTTGTGTTCTCCAGGTCCGTTTTTCTCTGATACATATTTTGAAATACATTCTGGCCAAATAAGATTCATTTCTGTACAGGGACAGCTCTATTTATCCACCAGGTGAGAGAAACTAAAAAGTACTTGATAAACTATATTTACAGAAGAACGGTTGCGGGAATTGAGTATGTTTAGTCTAATGAGGAGAAGGATAAGGGGTAACATGATAGCAATGTTCCAATATTTGAGGGGCTCCCACAGAGAAGAGGAACTCAATCTATTCGCCAAAGCACCTGAGGGCAGGACAAGAAGCAACAGATGGAAACTAACCAAGGAGAGAACCAACCTAGAAATAAAGAGTAATTTCCTGACAATGAGAACAATTAATCAGTGGAACGACTTGCCTCCAGAAATTGTGGCTGCTTCAACACTGGAGGTTTTTAAGAAGAGATTGGAGAACCATTTGTCTATAATGTTATAGGGTCTCCTGCTTGAGCAGGGGGTTGGACTACAAGACCTCCAAGGTCCCTTCCAACCCTGTTATTCTGTTGTTTTTGTTGCCTTTTTCTCTAGACTAAACATTTTAGTTTTTAGAACTTAGCTTTCATCATGGATTTGAGGACGCAAGTGGGATGGAGTTGTGGAAAAGGTTTACTTAAAGGCAGAGGATTCTCACAAGTGTTAGAAATTAAACATTTTCTAATGATTTATTTAGTCCTTGATTTTGGAAGCTCTGTAGAAAGGTCTACCTTCCTTTAAGCTCTCAGAGCAGAGAGATACAAATATTACATTATCTCACACATCCATGGATAGGATGTTATATAAGTTCCAATGTATCTTTTGGACAATATCTTTCTATTTTTTACATTGTGTGGTATTTTCAGTTACATTGATTAACAGAAGGCATCAACTAACCAATTTCATTCTTACTAGATTTCCTCAGACACGGTATGTCCCATGTAATTTGAACCCCTTAGAATAATATCCAGATGCCCCTATTCTAGGATACCCAATTAGAGGTGAAACCAGTCACATAATGCCTCCTAGTGGTCCATGTTATTGATTTGAGGTAACTTTTTTTTCAATATAACTGTAATATCCCGTTAAATCTTTTAAAATAAAAAGTACTGTAATGTTTAGACCCCTCACTGCAAATCTAGGATAACCCAAAGCAAATAAGCTAATCAGACAATAATTCAATACCGCTAGTGGTTTATGTCCAGCTAGAGCTTTTATCAGTAATAATGCTACTACTTAACACTTCTATTTTTCTATTTTTCAGGACACGTGGGAAGGATTATAGAACTGGATCTAGTCAAACTGAACTTTTCTGCTGGCCACTGCAAATAAAAAATTAAAGAACACTTAACAGCAGAAGATTTTTACTGCCTAATGTCCATGATTTTATTGAATAGCATAAAATCTTCCACATGTTCTTCAGTTTAATTACATTATGGATATAAGAGTGAATGGCCACACTTGTTGAATAACAGTGCTATGTCCATAAAATTTGGTACCTTGTGGAAACTTAAATTCAAAGAACTGTTTTTGTTTTCTAAAAAATAAAAACAAAAGCCTATTATTGTCCTTACTAAGAAGTCATATTTTTTCAGTTTAGTTCTATTCTGTTCTGTTCTTGTTCTGTTCTATTATAAAATTAAATATTTCCTTTCCTACCAAAATCAGTCTCATACATGTAAATACCTAAGAACATACATGGGTGTATATGTAAAAGCAAAAGAACACACATACAAATATATTTTCCTTCTTGTCAACAGAAACAATAAACCATTTTCTATTTTACCCATTATTTTCTTTATTTATAAAGGTACAGTTTCACTGTATTCACATGTCTTTCTATTCTATGCCTCCAATATATTTATTTGTTGATGACTTCTGTATTTATGTTGTCTTAATCTGTGTATATATATATATATATATATATAAACAGATTAAGACAACATATATATATATATATATATATTGTCACTCTCTGTAGATGTATACACCTTTTTCCTCCAAGTTCAATCTGATTTTTATCATTATTTAGTTTCTGTTTTTAATTTCTTTTCTTTTAAAATAGTTTGACAATGCTGAAAAATAATACAAACTAAATCATAAAACAGAAAAAAATAGAAAGGAAGAAATACAAATTCCAAAAAAGAAAAGAAAAAGAAGAGAAGAGAGGTAGGAAAAAAGAATATATAAAGAAGTGATTGCCAATTTTCCTTGCAACAAGTATAAGCAAATTATTAGTTCCTCCCCATGATATTATGTATATGGTCCACTACTTCCCATAATCTCTTTTACGGAAACATGGTGGGATGAAACTCACACATGGAACACATATCTAGAGGGATTTAAATTATTTAAAAGAAACAGACCAAATAAAAGAGGAGGTGGAGTTGCTCTCTATATAAGAAATAACTACATCTCTACAGAAATAGAGCACAACAATGATAAAAACTGTCTTGAATGCATTTGGGTCAATATAAAAGGGGGGGGGGAATTACATTGCCATACTACAGACCACCCAACCAAACAGAGGAAATAGATGAACTTTTTGCTAGTCAGCTAACTAACGTATGAAGGAAGCACACCACAATAGTAATGGGGGACTTTAACTACCCTGACATCAACTGGGAGACAAACTCCACACCAAGTGGAAGATCAAACAGGTTCCTGGCAAACCTAGCAGACAACTTTGTCTCCCCAAAAGTAAACTAGGGGGTTAGCCATTTTGGATGTAATTCTCACTAATAGAGATGAAATGATAGAACAGGGGTTCTCAACCTTGGCAACTTTAAGACTTGTGGACTTCAACTCCCAGAATTCCTCAGCCAGCAAAGCTGGCTGAGGAATTCTGGAAGTTGAAGTCCACAAGTCTTAAAGTTGCCAAGGTTGAAAACCCCTGTGATAGAAGGTGTTGAAGCCACAGGAACCCTGGGAAGAAGTGATCATGCAATATTAGAATTCAACATCATAGAAGCACAAGCAATAGAACACAGTCAAACTAGAGTCTTGGACTTCAAGAGAGCTAATTTCAATACACTTAGAGAGGGCTTGGGAAGGATTCCATGGGATGAGAATCCTCAAGGGGAAAACAACTCAAGAAGCTTGGGAAATTTTGAAAAATGAGATAATAAAAGCACAGTCTAGCACAATACCAACAAAGAGGAAAAACAACAGCTCTCAAAAGAAACCAGCATGGCTGCATAAAGAACTCTCTGACAAATTAAAAGATAAAAAGGACAAGTATAGAAAGTGGAAAGAGGGGCACATAACTAAGTCAGAATATCAGCAAATAGCCCGAGCCTGCAAAGATGAAGTGAAGAAAGCCAAGGCTCAAAATGAACTAAGGCTTGCGACCAAAGTAAAAAATAATAAAAAAAGCTTTTTTCAACATGTAAAAAACAAGAAAAAAGTGAAGGAAATGATTGGTCCATTAGTGGGTGGAAGTAGCAAGAAGGTGACAAGCAACAGGGAGAAAGCAGAACTATTTAACTTGTTTTTTGCATCTGTCTTTACACAAAGGGAAAAAACAGACCAACCTATCAAAAATAGTGCCATCATTATAGACAAATAGTGGAGAGGTGGAAGATAGATCGTAACATGGGTTTGCTTAGAGAAGATGAGAATTTATTAAAACAAATAAAAGATCAAAGACGAACTCATATTAAGAGAATCTATGGGGTGTTAGTAGAACTGGATTCAGAAGCAGAATTAGTTAAAGAATGTATGGTTAAATGGGCACAAATTTTTGATGAACCGGTTCTATTAGATACCTGGGAAATTATTTGGGTGAGGAATGTTAAATTTACACAAGCCCAAAATTTAAGGGAAAATTTTTACAAAATGTTTTATAGATGGCACCTTGATCCACAAAAAATGTCTCATATGTATCCTGACTTACAGCCTAAATGTTGGAGATGTGGATGTTCGGATGCTACTTATTATCATATCTGGTGGTCATGTAAAAATATAAAAGCTTTTTGGATTAAGATATGGTGGAATATCCAAAGAATTTTTAGAAGAAGGGTAAAATTTACCCCACAATTGTTTTTGTTAGATATTGTTTCTGATTGTGATACTAAAGAGAGTATATTGATGTTAAATTTAATTACAGCGGCAAGGTTGTTAGTAGGGCAATGTTGGAAGAAGGAATCTTTGCCTACCTTGCAAGAGTGGTTTTTTAAAGTTTCTTATTTGGCGGAAATGGCAAAGATTTCGGCTTTCTTAAAAGACCAATCGCAAGAGAAGTATTTTTTGGTATGGAAAAAATGGATAGACTTTATACAATATAAGTTGGATATAAAAAAATATTATTTAGCTTTCCAATAACTTATATTTAAAATTTAAGATATTTTATAGATTTTATAGACTTTCCTTTTTTTTCTTTTTCTTTTTTCTTTTTTCTTTTTTCTTTCTTCCTACTTTCTTGTATTTCCTTGTATTTTTGTCTTTTTATATATATATATATTATTGTTAACTATTTCACAACTTGTTTAATTAATGTATTTAGATTTGTTAATGTTTATATCTGTTTTTAAGATTTTTTGAAAAATTTTAATTAAGCCTGTATTCAGCTCTGGGAAGGTCGGGGGAGCGTATGGGAGGGTTGGGGGGGGGGCGTGGGGAAGGGAACTGTATTGTTTTGTAAAATTTAAAAATTTTCAATAAAAAAAAATAGTGCCATAAAAAACAAAATAGAAACACAAGTTAAAATAGGCAAGAAAAGGGTAAGTGAGCACCTGTCCAGCCTAGATGAGTTCAAATCTCCAGGACCAGATGGATTACACCCCAAGGTTCTCAAGGAACTGGCAGATGTGATCTCGGAACCACTGAACTATATTTTTCAAAGATCCTGGAACACAGGGGAACTACCAGAGGACTGGAAAAGAGCTGATGTAGTTCCCATCCTCAGAAAAGGAAAAAAAATGGATCCAGGAAATTACAGACCTATCAGCCTGACCTCAATACCTGGGAAGATCCTGGAAAAGATAATCAAACAACAAATCAACGAACACCTAGAGGCAAACAAAGTCATTACTAAAAGCCAACATAGGTTTGTCAAAAATAGATCATGCCAGACAAATCTTATTGCATTCTTTGACCAAGTGACAAAATTAGTGGATCAGAGGAATGCTGTGGACATAATTTACTTGGACTTCAGTAAGGCATTTGATAAAGTAGATCACAACCTATTACTTGATAAGATAGAAAAATGTGGGGTAGACAGAATCACCACCAGATGGATCCGTAGCTGGCTGACCGGCCGTACTCAGCGAGTGGTCCTCAATGGAACTGCATCTATATGGAGGGAAGTGTGTAGTGGGGTGCCCCAGGGCTCTGTTCTTGGCCCAGTGCTCTTCAACATCTTCATCAATGATTTGGACGAAGGGATAGATGGGGAACTCATCAAATTTGCAGACGACATCAAGCTGGCAGGAATAGCCAACACTCCAGAAGACAGGCTTAAGATACAGAAGGATCTGGACAGACTTGAACACTGGGCACTAACTAACAAAATGAAATTCAATGGTGAAAAAAGCAAGGTTCTACATTTAGGCAAGAAAAACCAAATGCACAAGTACAGCATAGGTGGCACCATGCTCAATAGTAGTAACTGTGAGAGGGACCTCGGAGTCCTAGTAGACAATCACCTAAATATGAGCCAGCAGTGTGCTGCAGCTGCCAAAAAGGCCAACACAGTGCTAGGCTGCATTAATAGAGGGATAGAATCAACATCACGTGAAGTATTAATACCACTCTACAATGCCTTGGTAAGGCCACACTTGGAATACTGCAAGCAGTTTTGGTCACCACTATGTAAAAAAGATGTTGAGACTCTAGAAAGAGTACAGAGAAGAGCAACAAAGAGGATTAGGGGACTGGAGGCTAAAACATATAAGGAACGGTTGCTAGAATTGGGTATGTCTAGTTTAACGAAGAGAAGGACAAGGGGGGACATGATAGCAGTATTCCAATATCTCAGGAGCTGCCATAAAGAAGAGGGAATCAAGCTATTTTCCAAAGCACCTGAAGGCAGGACAAGAAGCAACGGGTGGAAACTAATCAAGGAGAGAAGCAACCTAGAACTAAGGAGAAACTTCCTGACAGTGAGAACAATTAATTAATGGAACAGCCTGCCTCCAGAAGCGGTAAATGCTCCAACACTGGAAGTTTTTAAGAACAGACTGGACAGCCATTTGTCCGAAATGGTGTAGGGTTTCCTGCCTGAGCAGGGGGTTGGACTAGATGACCTCCAAGGTCCCTTCCAACTTTACTACTATTATTATCTGTTCATAAATATGAAGAGCATTGTCATTTCTGTACAAATCTCAACAGGAAGTCCATAAAGTTTTTCCAGAATGTTATAAAAATATTCCATATTTTCATCCTGCTCAAACAAGCCAGCTTTAAATTCCTTTCTTTTGTTTCTAACAATCTTAATCTTTTTAGTTCATCAAATTCTGTCACAGGATTGAATCTCCTTGGAGATTTCTTTCTCCCATCTTACACTTTTCTTCAAAGTTTTAGAAATCCTCTTTTGTAAATCCAAAAAGAAATCCTTGTCCAGGTCCTTCTTAT